TCTCGCTAATGAAGTATTTTTGATGTGTTTTCACTGTTATAATGTTGGAAACACAGCTGCCATTTTAAAAATGCAGGTTGATAATTATAGGATCTAGTCACACTTAGTGTTTCTATAGTGATGCTTTACTGCTGTTCAACCCTCCTCCGCCTGTAATTTACTTAACCGTTTAGCTAATCAATTGTAGCAGATGTAAGCACCTTAGAAGAACCATAACTATACATGATATTAAAGAATAATTTAAATAGTTGTTTGGTAGTACAGAACTTGAGAATTGCGGAAAAAAAATATATTTTGTCAAAGCATTTTATCTTTCATCAAAACACTCATTGGGACAATTCACAAGAAATACCAATATAAAGTGAAAACACATCCTGAATGCGAGGAGAATGATGATTGAGTGCACGTGGACTCTGCTGGGTTGAGATGTTGTCATGTAGAATGTATCAGATGATGACCAACAGTTAACTGCCAAGTTTTGTTTAAATTTTAAGCCACATACCTATTTGATGAGTTAAACAGGCACACTGTATACAGAAGGGTGTACACAGAAGGGTCTAGACCCGAAACGTCAGCTTTCCTGCTCCTCTGATGTTGCTTGGCCTGCTGTGTTCATCCAGCTCTACACCTTGTTGGCTCAGATTCTCCAGCATCGGCAGTTCCTACTAACACTGTGTACATGTTCTTTTTCCTGAAAAAGAACAGGGCTCTACATTAATGTATGTAGCTTCCAGTACACAAAGTTGTGCCACTATGCGAGTCTAACTGGCAAGTTGGTTGCAACATAATTCTTTGCACACTCAGGATTAATTTACAGTCACCATTTAACTGGTGCAATCTCCAATGCCAATGCCTCTACTAATCACAGTCCACTGGCCAATCAATCAGCACACGCTGTTTTGCCTTTATGTTGGTATTTCTTGCCAATTGTCCTGGAGTACAAAAGGAAAAGCTTCCACCAAATGTGTATTTTTTTCAGCAAGTAAATCTTTTATGCAGTGAAATTAATTGAATTATAGCTAACTTTGAAACAATTATTTTCCAGCAAAGCTCAATTGCAATCCAAGCCAAGTCTTGCTCCATGGTCAGAGAACCAATGGGGAAAATCTCATCAGTTCCTAGGAGGTTGCCTGATGGAATGTCCTTAAATGGCCACTGTTGGGTCATCCCGTGATTGAAGACCCAAGTGGCAGAAACCCTGCCTCCTGAGAGCTGATGTTATTCAGAGATAGCAGTGGGATTGGTGACAAGACGCTGGAAATCTGAAATAAAAACAAAAATTGCTGGAGAAACTCGGCAGATCTGGCAGCATCTGTAGAGAGAAAGCATTGTTAACGTTTCAAGTCCAGTGACCCCTCTTCACTTCTGAAGGGTCACTGAACTTGAAACATTAACTCTGCTTTCTCTCGACAGATGTTGCCAAATCTGCTGAGTTTCTTCAGCAATTCGTTTTTGTTTCCTGTACTTACCAAACTGTTTTTCAAAAAATAAATGACAGCGATGTTGCTAACAGTGATCCCACGTCAAAAGTACTTAATTGGTTGCAAAATACATTGAGATGTCTTAAGGTTGTTGAAAACGTTACGTAAACACAAATCTTTCATCATGCTCATTGCTTCTAGCCTGTGAGCGATTGGGACTGATTGTAGACACAATCACCCACCCTTTTTGTGTATTTAACAATTTCTACCTTCCCATCATCAGTGATTATCGCTGTAGCTGTTTAGGGCTGAAACCTCTCGCCCTTCCTCTTCCTGCAAGATCAACCTTTGACTTAAATCTTCTTTCAAGGTTTAGTATCAGCTTCTGTTTGACAGTGCTCCTGGGAAGTGCCTCGGACCTCTTACGGCACCTAAAGAGTTTTATAATTGGAACCAGTGCTTTGTAGAATGGGCAAACATGTTGGCCTTTTATCTATTCTTCCTTCAGTGTTCATAGTGGGTGGCTCAGAGGATATAAACTCAGACTGTCAATGCTAAAACTATGTGAGGTAGGTGTCTTATTTTAGAATTAACAATGAAAAGCACAACTTAAATACAAGTATAAAAGCTTATTTATTTCCACTTTTTACAGTTAAACTGATGTTACACAATATCAATTTACAGCCTAGAAGTAGATTATTTGGCCCAATTAGTCTGTCATTCAAAGCAACCCTCCCTGCTCCACCTTTCATCTCACCCTATCAGCATCTTTGAATTTCTTTCTCCTTGATTGAATTATCTGGCTTCTCCTAAGAAGAATCTATGTTATTCATTGCTCCACATAGCAACTAGCTCTGCACTCCCAAGTACTGTATAACTATAAACATTGGCTAAAACACCAGGGACTGTAATCCCTGTCAAATAGTTGTCTTGGGATCTTTTACAACCCCCTGTGGGAACAGTTTAATGTCTTATTCAAAAGACAATACTCTCTGACAATACTGCATTCCTTAGAAATTATTCTGGAAATATCAGCTTGGATTTTGTGCTGAAATCTTTGGAGTGGGACTCAAAACCTCCATTTTTCTTTGACTCCAAGCCAAGTGTGTTAGCCACCAACATGCTTCTAAAGCATGATCTTTTGAGATGGCTGCATATCATTTCAAAACCTATAAACTTCCTTGGAGTCATCATCCAAATTGAATTGAGTGGCTTTGGTGTGGGTACAGTTGACAACTATAATAATCAAGCCAGTTTTCTTGGAGAATGTTGCTATACAGGTCCAGAAATGATTATGCATTTCACTTGAGGGTGTTAAACCCATGACCTGTCTTCCTAACAACTCCTGATGTTTGTACTTTGATGTACAGGTGAGAAAATATAATTCTGTGCAGACTTGTGATTTGTTATGTATTCAATCTTACAGCTAACGATTACTATTTACTTATGCTGTGGTTTCCTTTAAATAGATTGGACACTCTCTTTATTGAACACCTCACTTGAATCCATAAGCACAACCGTGAGCTTCCCGTTACCTGTTATTTTAATTCTCTGCTTTCCTTCCACTTTGTGCTCAGCCTCCTGTTCCGTTCAGTGGAAGCCCAACATAGGCTTTAAGAATAGTACCTCATCTTTCAATGAGCTATTTTACAGTCCTTCAAAACCAAAGATTAAAATCATAAGTATTATTCCCACTTTTCATGGGCAGCAGCTGTTTTTTTTAATTGTTTCCCATGCAGAGAAATTTTGTAGAAAAATCTTTTGATTCTATACTTGTCCCATTACCAGCTTATTCTGTCTTTCATCATCCTGCCTGCCCTCCACTCTATCACAAACCCATTTTATTGCTCTTTGCACCAACCCCCCACCACTCTTTTCCCGCCTCCGTACTTATTTAAAACCTATTACATCTCAACTTTGAGCTATGATGAAAACTCACCAGACTTGAAACATTAACTATTTTCTCCCACAGATGCTGCCAGATCTGCTGAGTTTCACCAGCAATTTCTCTTTCTGTTTCAGATTTCCAGCATCCATAGTTCTTTGTTAACATTTACATTTTCCAGTTCTCATGAGAAGTCATCACCTCTGCTTCCTTTTCCACAGTTGCGGTGTGACCTGTAGAGTATTTCTAACATATGCCTTAACTACTGTGTGAAACATTTGTTTTGAGACCAGCTTACTTAGAACTTCAATTACAATGGATATCACCAAGCAATAAGAACTACTGAAATTCAAAAGTCTCTCTAACAACGTTAATGTCTAAAAAAAATCCAGTCTAAGGAAGCAAACAATAAAAACTACAGTACAATGAAAATAGGCAGCACTGCCATTTACAGCTATGCTGGAGCTATGTTTTATTTATCTTATCACACCTTGGTACAAAACAATGATCACTTTGGTCACTGATTCTCTCTTCCATCCCATTATAATTTGTATCCTAGCTTTGTACTTAGTTGAAAGCTGTTAATCTCCAACTCCCCAATGTTCTGGTAAAAGATCAATCCAAAACTTTAAGGGACTCAATTTTAACTACTAAGTAAGTTTTCAAAACAAAATCAATGAGTTAAATTCAGTCTCTTTCCACTCATCCTGTCTGACCACTGACAATTTTCAGCATTTTCCACTTTCAATCTTTTGAAGAAAAACTTTGGCTAAGCATCTTTCAAAAAATGTATTTGAATTACCATTAACTTGGACAAATCAAGAGAATGGAGCAATGCATGGCAGGTGAAGGGTAATATGGATAAAGGTGAAATTGTTCACTTTGGAAGAAAAAACAGAAAGGCAGATTATTTATCTGAATTGTGAAAGATTGGGAAAGTTGGAGGTGTAAAAATGATTTGGGTGTCCTTGTACACTAGTCACTGCAAGTAAGCATGCAGGTGCAGCAGGCAGCAAAGAAGGCAAACGTTATGTTAGCCTTCATAGTGAGTGGATCAGAGTACAGGAGCAGGGATGTCTTGCTGCAATGTACAGGGCCTTGGTGAGATGGCACTTGGAGTGATGTATGTAGTTTTGATTTCCTTATCTGAGGAAGGATGTTCTGGCCACGGAGAGAGTGCAAAGAAGTTTTACCAGACTGATTCCAGGGATGGCAGGTCCGATGTATGAAGAGTGATTGGATTAGTTAGGTCTAAATTCACTGGAGTTTAGAAGCATAAGGGGGAGGGATCTCAAAATTCTAAAAGAACTTGACAGAGTAAATGTAAGAAGGATGTTCCTGATGACTGGGGAATCCAGAACCAGTCTAAGGAAACAGGGTAGGCCGTTTAGGACTGATAAGAAGAAACGTCTTCATCCAGAGAGTGGTGAGCCTGCAGAAAGTGGTTGAGGCCAAAACATTGAATGCTTTCAACAAGCAGTTAGATGTAGTTTTTCAGACTAAAGGGTACGAGGCAAAAATCAAGGACAGGGTACTGAGTTACATAATCAGCCAAGATTGTACTGAATGGTGGAACAGGTCTAAAGGGCTGTATGGTCTACTCTTATTTTCTATAGGGTTGGAATTATTCTAGAATATACACAGGAACCTACATGTGTACAGATGGATTACCAACAATTCAGAAATAACACAACTTTTTCCCAAATATTTCTTTATTTTCCCCTCAATGGTCATAAAACAAATAGATGTATTTTCAAAAACATAACAGTGAATCTCATTCAATATATGACATAACTGAAGCATAAACAGGATAATCTGGCAGTATTACAGTGAAAAGTCAGTCAGTATGGTACATCCGAGAAATGGACAAGTTGTATACAGACAAATAATTTCATTGCAAAGTGACAGATTACTAAAGCCTGTGGCACAAGTATCACTGTGCTCCATATATGCCTGTGTGCTTGCAGACTGCAGCCTGTGTGAGTGCAGCTATTACATTCTTCAACTGCTAAGATTCACCAAACATCACGGCGAGAGAAGTTATTTGGCTGGAGTCACAAGTACAATTCAAATTGGTTTTGTGAAGTATTGATCTGAACACTTTCCAGGCATTTGCCAAAAGAGCTTAAGTGATTATTTCCAACCTAACACACTATGGATCATTTTATGATCAGTGAAATAAACAGAGAAATTACATAGTATTGATTACAAACATCCATGCCTCTTTAGTGTGACGTTAGATAATTCTTGATATTACAATCCAGTAAATTGCAAATAAGGTAGAGTTAAAGGGGACACAAATTGCTTTTAGTTTGGCTAAAATGTTCTGTTCCGGGGAGGGATGCTGTTTGACTGTCAAGCTTTTATGATATGGTTTGAATATTTTATTTTTGCTCAAAGCTACAAGCATGAGAGATTAAATATTGTTAGTACACCCCAATGGAGGCTTGAGAGTTCATTCCTGAACAGAAATTGCAGCATACAATTTTCATATATAGCTTTTAAAAATACAGTTTAAGTGTTAACTGCTAAGTATTCCAATAGGAAATATATTATATTTCAGTAAAGAGTTACAATTCACACACAACTGCCTCTCTCATGAGAATGCTTTGAACGGAGTATTTAGTTTTTATTTAAAAACCTCTGCTGCTCATTTTACAATATAAAGACAGCTTTATTACATATTTACTATGTACATAAGTGCAACAAGATATGTTATCCATATTTGTACATCACCAGGATCAAATATTTTAGCTGCATGCTAACTGAGACAGTCATAACACTTCAGAAACAACAAACCCTTTTGTTTTTGAGAACACTAAAGCAAAATGTTCCTTGGATGCACCTTTTTGAAAATATTCAAACAGTATCAATATTTTACCATCCGACAGTACACAGATGTCACAAAGCCAATATCTGCAGGTCAAATGGCCCATGTTGTCAGTTGGAAAACTGATGTAAAAACATACAACTTCATCTATTCTTAAAACCAAAAAAAATCTAATGTTACTCATAATTCATGCTTTTATTGTGACATACAATTATTTCAAATTAAGTTCAACTTATACAATGTAAAATTCTAATTAGACAATAAAATTTGTTATGAGGTGGATTATGAAGCCTTACAAAAAACTAAGTGCGCTGGATAAGTGCTGTGGCCAAAAAGTGAGCCATTTTCACTATAGTGCAACAAGCTTTTAAGCCAAGTACACTATTTCATAGCAGAAATTATTGCTATTACATCATAACTTTGATGAAAAGTACTGTGCTGCTGCATAATAGATGAAACACAATATCGTTGAATAAGTATGCTTGGAAAATAGAAACAGAGCTTCAAAAATAAACACACACCCGAGAAATTTATTATGACGTAATAGCTATCGAACTAATCACAATGGGCATTTGTGTTGTCATTTGAAAGTCTCATTGTGATATAATTTCCGATATGTTAATGGTGTATCTTATCACTGTATTACCATAATTTCAGTTGACTTGTATTAACTGAACTCCATGTCTATATAAGTATAGGATTAAAAACTGACTACTAACCCTCAATAAGAGAAAAGTTTAACAAAGGAAGAAAAACAATACTACACATTATCTTTAGGACCAGTTCTAGTACAAAATCATAAACATACCTATCAGAAAACCAATCTTATGAAAAGGTAAACCTATTATGAAAATGGTATATACTTTCAACACAGTAAGGATTTTGATCAAGCTATTAATTTCTAATCATTACGCTGGATGGATCTAGCTAAAATGTTTACTAAATCTTGAAACAATAATTCTTTAAATACAAGGTACAATTAAAAAATATAAAAAAATTTTTATTTTTATTTTTGTATGCTGCATGCTGACTTTATTGTGGTTACTGATTGCTGTACTGGCACTAAAATAAACTTAATGACAGAACTCAAACATTATACTAGAGTCTTTGTGTATTTTGTGTTTAATTTTTAGACACTACAAACTAATTTTGTTGAACAATGCTCTGTTGTATCTGATGCCTCTTCTAAACTTTATATTAGAGTCACTATTGGATTACTGTGACTTGTAAAATAAAGACAATAAATTTGGTAAGATTTACGGTCTTAGGATATAATTTGGCTTAAAGAAAAAATAAAATTACCAGCCCCCACCTTTGCACTGTCGCCGGTAAAACGTCAATAGTGAAATTAGGGTGCAATTTTATTTGGGAAGAGCCTTTTTGTTAGAAAAAGAATATTTCTTTTTAAAAAAGTTAATTTTTCCTCTCATCATATACTCCACCTAGATTTTCATCAAATTTTGCCAGCTAAATTGTCTGCTTTACTAACATGAGAAAACACACTAAATACAGTTTTGGTACAACTTACACTTCGCACATAATCGTGAATAATTGTCCCTCTTTTTTTAGGCACTGTTACATATATCATGTTCTGGATTATAAATGAATTTATAATATGGTGCACCTTTCAGAGTCAGAAGAATCTTTTTAACACAGTGGATATCTTGAGCAAGCACAACTGTAGCTGCAGTAAAACAGACAAGCTTTGTCTCTGCAAGTAATCCTGTCTGACTTTGTAGCTAGCCACATTCTCTGCACTTCCACATTTCTAATCCTCTTTCATAACAATCAGTGTCGAGAACTTGATTTCAGAGTTAGACATAATTCGTCATACTTGGAAATAAGTTGCCTTTACAAACTAAAGGATCCTCCATCTTCTGATGCCAATGTAGAACTAAACAATTCAATGTTACTGCATTACATTGGGAAGAAGGACATCCTTTCATGTTTTGCTTGTCGGGCAACAAAGGCATAAACAATCCAAAGACAACAAACCTTGATAAGTCAAATTACGTCTGTGCAATGTTTCAGATTAATATGAAGTTTATACCCATTGTGTTCACTTAGAAATATTATTGTTGTTTATTAAAAGTCACTGCTCATGTTTGTTCTGTTTAAAAAAAAAAGTGTTGATCACTCAATCATTTTTTTTTCCACTGAATGATTAGGTTACTACTGAAAAATTAGGAACTCATTTTGTACACTAATTTTCAAAATGGGATTCTATTTTCTATGGAGCATTATTGTCTATAATGTCTGTGAGGATTCTTCCAACCCTGTAGGTGCTGTCTTTTTTGTATACAATGATCTCATAACAGATTAACAATATAACCATATCACACTCTTTATAGAATGTAATGGTGAAACATCTCCACAAAATGAGACATCAGAAAGTAGATATACTATTTTCTTTGATTGTAACATTTGTCGCAGTGCTAGGGTTATTTACAGTATATATGAATATTAAATATGTGTCTGAACACATCTACATCCATAAATTTATGATGAATTTCCTGTCATGATTTTGTATTCTTGCTTAATCTAAATAGATTTTCTCTTAATTTGGTTAGCATGCTGGCTGTGGTAAGCCTAATATAGATGCAGGTGGGGAGGGAAGAGGATAGTATTTACAATAAGCCTGTTCATGAGTTTCCATAGAGATGTCTTGAGCATTCAGCTGCTTCTGGTTCACTATTTCAGTATGACCTGAGAGATATTGAAAAGAAAAATAATTTAGCAAGGTTTAACATCATGTAGCTGTGCAAATATTTGCAATGACTTCAAACAGCCTTTAAAGATAACAATAAATAGTCCTGATCACTTCAAGTAAACATGCATGTTGCTACAGAAACCACACAGGCAAGTACTGCATAAAAATATTTTCCTATCACCAGAAATTTAGAAGCTACTGAATATTAAAATTATACAGAATTGCAATCTTAATCTCCAGTTGGAGGACTGTGAATGCATTAATTCAAATGCTCAAATAGGGACTAAACAATTTTGACAGTTGCACAAATTAAGACATGTTCTGCTAAGTCATACCAGGACAAACTTAATAATGCAGATTTAGCGTAGCAGCAAGTAAACAAGGAATATTATTTGCTTCCAGAGTGTTTCAGCTAACTGATTCAAACCTCCAGTACACTGGATTCTGAAAAATTACTACACTAGGTTTTTGGTCAGGTCATCTTAGTTGAGTTGCATGGATACTTATGTCTGACAATAATACACCAACTTCCCCTTATCAAAGTTTAGAAAGTACAGCTGCAAACTGGGAGTGGATAAGAGTTTAGGAGGCTCAAGTTCATACGCATATTGTAGGAACGTAACCATCAATGTTGTACAGCTTAGCAGTACGATTTCGTTAACTACGTCACACATGTTCAACTAGAATTACTTCATCCATGCCAGAGCTAGTCTGTACAGTCAAGAATTGCTACGACTGGTCTACCACTGCAGGTTCTATTTTTGAGTCAGACTGGCTACCAACAAGTAATAACTTAACTTGGTTAAAGAAAACTCACCCAGTCCTAACACTGTTGAACAACAAGTATGCTTACATCCTTAAATGGATGGTCAACAAATAACTAACAATCAATGGTTCAGCCTCTTGTTAGATGGACACAAAGCAGCCATTAAAAAAATATGAGGACCAGCTCAGACACGTATTCTCTCCAGTATAGAAGATTAATAGCTGACCTAATTGAGGGGTCAATGATGATCAATAGATCTTATTAGGTGACAGAGAGAAATGATTTCTTCCAGTGGCAGAGTCCAAAACAAGGGAACAGAACATTGAAATTAGTGCCAAGATATTCAGGGTTCCTGTCAGGAAGCATTTCTTCACAAAATAAAAAGCAGAAATCTGGAACTTTCTCCCCAAAAAACTGCTGAGGCTGGGAGTCTGAAAGTTGAAACTGATAGATTTCTATTTGTAATATCGGTAATGGAGGTTGTGGAACCAAGGTGGGTAAACAGAGTGAAGACACAGATCTGTCACCAAAGGAGGAAAATGAGCTTGACAGAAATAGAATGGGGCCATTCAGCCTATGCTGCTGTATTTCCGACTGTAATTTAAACTGCATTACAATGTCATGGTCAATGCTGAAAGTTCCTCCTTCTTACTGGTCTTGTACCAATGCAATTCATGGTACCTCTAATGAAAACTTGGGGGGGTGGGGGGAGGGTTAATTTATTCAGTTACACTTTGCATATGCACTCAGCTGATGGTGGGATTCCAGCTCCACAAGTCCAAAATCAAATACCCAAATTATTCATTGGAAATTGCTTAATTCAGATCATGATGAAACCGAAGTGTTTCAGTCACCATAAGCCGAACTCATTTACCACAAATTTAGTCAGCTCTGAATCATGCACATGTGCCAAAGAAAACTGTCATAAAGCTAAATATTTAAGCGCGTGTTTTGCCACAAAATAAGAAAGGGACTTTGCTGTCACCATAGAGGAAAGTTAGTCCAATTTGTTCTTCACCCCACAATCACCATAGTTCCAAAGAACCATATCCACTCTAAACTTGGGATGGAGACTAGCCCGAAGATATGAAATATGAATTTAAAAATGGGCAAGATGTGGCTTAATGGGCACACAGAATAGTGGTAATGTTACTGGATTAGTTACAGCAAAGTCTGCATTAATAATCCAAAGTCACAAGTTGAAATCCTGACATAGAAGCTTTTTCTTGGAGCGGGGAGAGAAGCAGAGAGAGAGAGAGACAGAGAGAGAGAGACAGAGAGACAGAGACAGAGAGCGAGAGAGAAGAAAAGCTAATTTAGTCCTGGATCACAAAATTACTGGACTGTCATAAAAACCCAACAGTTCACTTTAAGGATGGATGTCTGGTGTCTTTTGCCTTACTGCAAACCCAGGGCAATGCAGCGGACTCCTAACAGACCATGATGCACACTGCAACAGCTAAAACGAAGGCATCACCTCAAGGGCAATTAGGGAAATACAACAACGTCCCACCCACTCCACAGATGTGTGATAATACATCTGAGCAGGTTGCTTTAAAAATATATAACAAAAAAAGTGGCTGTCAGTGATACCAGCATCCCATGAATATATTAAAAGAAAACTTTCAATTAATAGCTTTAAGATGGTTCTGCAGATTGCAAGACAATAATGCAACATTTGGAGCACCTTTTGTCAATTCACTGTTCATGATGGCAAATGAAAATCCAATTCTTGAAGGGAGTTTGCTACTATATCAGTGACAGATAGTATTACACAAGTTCTTCTACAGAATATAGAGATACTTGGTTGTACTTCCAACTTTCTAACCTTCCAAGAGAAATACAAAATTCCAAATCCAGAGTATAGATTCCAGACAATTTCCCTCCCTCAATCCCAACTCAGGACTTGATCAAACCCTCTTATGGTTCTAGCTTCTTCCTGCCTTCTATTTTAGAATCAGAGTTCTACAGCAAGGAGGGCACCATTTTAAAAGCCCTGTGAAAATTGGATAACGTGTGTTAATCTACAACTTTGGACAACTTGGTTGATTTCCTGGTCTGCACACTCCTCACAAGATCCAGTCTGTTTTGCATTACACTGCAGTGGAGATATATGGCACGAAAGCTAAAGAATAGTTTTATGCTCAGGAGTACCATGTACATACCGACTGATAAGATAATCCCAAGCAGAGATTTCAGAGATAGGTCTGTGATGCTTGAAACAAAGATCTAATCTCAAGCAGCTTCTGAAAAGTTTGCATGATCACTACTTAAGTCATAGCTTCCTTGAAGGAAACTGGTTTATTATATCCTTCTTTTCTGTTCATTTTCATCTTACCACAGAAGGGCCTCCCTCTAACTTGTTGGGTTGGACAGAAACTCAATGTCATGAAAAGAACATGCATTCATGTTCTTAGAGGTTTCTTTTAAACACTTCATAGCCAATGAAGTACTTTTTGTGCAGTTCCATGTTTTAAGTAGGTAAACATGGCAGGCAATTTACACACAGTAAGGTTGCCTTAATAGCAAGGTCAATAGTCATTCCAGTTGTCTCTCTCAGTGGTGTTGATAACGGATAAATTTAGGTCAGAACATTACAGCACTTGCAAGATTTTGGACTTGGCGGAGACAGCCAAGGCATAATGTCATGGCACAAAAACAAGCTGGTGGAGAAACTCAGCAGGTCTGGCAGCATCTGTTCAGAGAAAGCAGAGTTAGTGTTTCAAGTCCGGTAACCCTTCTTCATAACTGCAAGGTGAAGATAGGTGACTGGACTCGAAATGTTAACTAATTTTTCTCCACAGATGCTGCCAGACCTGTTGCATTTCTCCAGCAATTTTTAATTTGTTTCAGATTTTCAGCATTCACGGTTTTATTATAATGTCATGGCATTTGTCTGAAGGAACTCCTTCAAATGATAACTGATGATGTAATTCTTTTGACCATGATGGATGAGTTACAGAGATAAAACCGTTTTGAATCATTTCCAGGTATTTTGTAAGCCCTTAAAGAGGAAGGCATACTTCCATATTTGCTTCAACTCAAAGACTACATTCTTTTAATTTCAACAGTTTTGGATCAGTGAAACTAGAAATCAGGTGTTCAAGAACAGTGTCAGCAAGATGTATGTTTATTTCACAATTTTGATTTAATGTTATTTTTGTTTTTGTAGGAATACAATTTCAGGCCATATGTTATTATCTGATCGGTTTTTAATTGCCTAATGTACTTTTTGCAACGTTACCAACATTGCAACAAACAAGGCTTGTTCTTTTTCATTTTTAAAAGAAGTATGTTTTTGTCAGTATAGTTACTGTACCTTACAGCATGCTTGAGTTAATAAGTGCTCATATATTTTTTATAATTAATGCTGTAACACTTTGAACTTTGTAGAATAGAATAGAATAGCATTTATTGTCACGTGCTCTCAAAAGAGTGCAGCGAAAAGTCTGTAATGTCACCTCTTTCAGCACGATCTTTGGTACAGGGTACCTCAAGTGTTTGTTACAGAATTGAAAGAGTGGGAAAACATCCAGCATAGGAATACAAAGTTTTAAAAAGTACACAAGTTACTCCAAGTCCAGAATAAGAATAGAAAGTATTTTTAAAAGTAATCAATATATAGTCTTTTTCACCAAGTCTGTGTTCTGCTGAACACGAGGCCTCGCAGTCTCCATGTGCTGGCCTCTGGAAACTCAGCATAAAATGTGTTTATTCTGAGGTGAAGAGCTGATACAATGTTGTTGGGTAAAAAATACAGTTACCAAATGGAGACACAGGATAACACTGCACGTACAACCATTTTGTGCAAGTGAGGAAACTGCAAGACATAAATATTAGTTTAAAAACTGTTAGTACTAGATAAAATAATGGGACTTAAAAGGTGATAAATACCCTGGACCATATGATCCAAATCGGAGTATTCAAAGATGCATTGGTTGTCATCTTTCAAACTGCTATTGACTCTGAAATGGTTCTTGCAGTTTGGAAGTTGGCCATGTAACCCCATATTTAAGAAAGAAAGGATAGGGAAAATGGGTTCTACAGGTGAGTTAGCCCAACATCAGTTGTAAGGGAGTGCTGGAATCCATATTAAAGGAGAAGAACAGGATGCTGAGAAAATAATTGCAGGATTAGGCAGAATCAAAATGGATTTATGCAAGGGCAATTATGTTTGACAAGCCTGTTGGGAGTATTTTTGAAGGTAAAACTAGCAATATAGAGAAGATC